GATGGATTTGATGAGGGGGTCTTGAGTGGTTAAAGGAGATATGTGGGTTAAGGTTTCTCAATTTTTCTTTGCTAATGACATTTTGATTTTTTGTTAGCCTGAGGAGAAGATGATTTTGCATTTAAGGTGTCTACTTCTATGTTTTCAAGTTGTTTTTGGTTCTAACATTAATTTGAAAAAATTTGAGATGGTTTGTATAGGTGACAGGAGGGATGAGACTAAGCTTGTTGAGACATTGAGCTGTAAATGTATTAATCTTTCTATTAAATATCTTGGCTTGCCGTTGAGGTCTAAATTCAAGGATGGGAGAGTATTGAAGCCTGTGATTGATATGTTTGAGCGTAGACTTGCTGGGTGGAAGAGTAGATTTTCATCTAAGGGTGGAAGACTAATTTAATTAAAAGTACGTTATCTAATCTGCAGATCTACTATTTATCTGCTATGATTATACCTGTTTCTGTGGCAAGAAGATTGGAGTCTATTCAATGCTATTTTTTATGGGGAGATGAAGAGGGAAGAAGACGATTTCATCTGGTGAGGTGGGAAGATGTGAAGCGGCTTATGAATATGGAGGGTTTGGGCATTCAATCGTTTATTGAAATGAATACTGCATCACAAGGAAAGTGGCTTTGGAGGTGTAGATTTTTGGAGAAAAAATATTTGCTTTTTTATTTTCTCATATCATTTGTGATATAATATTGGGATATACATATAGAACTCGTACCTACGAGTAAGAGAATTTACATTATTATAGGGATTTTAATTGATTCTACTTATTAATTACATCATTATAGGAAATATTATAAAAGAAAAATGTTTCAACTAATGGAGTAACAAAATATTCTTATCAATACTTCCTCTCAAATTGGTGCAAAGATATTGTACATGTCAAACTTGCAGATCAAGTCGTGGAAAGATTTGATGCAAAGTCTTTTAATGAAGAAATCTGCCACTTGTTTAATAGAAGGCACATGATATAGGCATAAGGAGCCATCAACTACTTTCTCTTTTATGAAATGTCGATCAATTTCAATATGTTTTGTTCTATTATGTTGAATTGAATTATGGGTAATGCTAATGGCTGCTTTATTGTCACAAAATAAGGATAGACTCTCTTTTTTGAACAGTTTTAATTCTTTAATTAGCTTTTATTATCATAATAATTCACATACTCCTTGGGGCATTGCTATATATTCTAGTTTCGTCCTAAAACGAGTAACTACATTCTACTTGTTACTTTTTAAGTAACCAAGTTGTCTCTTAATCAGTAGTTAATTTTCTATTATCTAGAGATCCAACCAAATCGATATCTGTAAATGCTTTTATCTTACAGTGACCATGTTTGGAGAAGAGTATACGTTTTTTTGGTGCAAATTTTAGATACTGCAATATGTGAAAAACGACATGTAAATGAGGCTCACGAGGATCATGCATGTACTAACTTACCAGACTAACTGTATATACTATATCAGGTCTGGTATGTGAGAGAAAATGAATATTCCAACCAGTCTCTGATATCTCTCCAAGTCTAATGATGTACCAATTCCCGCTTGTAGTTTGTGATTACTTTCAATAGGAGACTTTGTCGGCTTGTAGCCCATCATACCAATCTCTTCTAATAAGTTTAGGATATATTATCTTTGAGAAATAAAAATCTCTTTATTAGATATGACAACTTTAATTACCAAAAAGTATTTTAGTTTTTCTAAATCTTTTATTTTAAACTCTTGAAACAAAAGTTCTTTTAATCGACTTATTTCTCTTGTATCATCTCCAGTCTCAACAATATCATTTACATAAATAATGAGAATAGTGATCTTACCTTTATAATGTTTAATAAACAGGGTATGGTTAACATTGTTTTGTCGATATACAAAAGAAATCATAACTCTTCTAAACCTTTTAAAGCATGCTCTTGGAGTCTGTTTTAACTCATATAAGATCTTTTTTAATTTGCAAACCTTCCTTTATGTTCTTTTATTTTCAAATTTAGGAGAACTCTCTATGTATATTTCTTTCTCGAAGTCTCTATGAAAGAAATTTTTCACATCAAACTGTAGTAAGTCCCAATCAAAGTTAGCTGCATAAGATAACAATATTTTGATTGTATTCATCTTCGCTATAGATGCAAATATTTCCGGATAGACTACACCACAGGTCTAAGTAAATCCTTTAGTTATCAATCTTGTTTTGTACCTTTCAATCGACTCGTCTGTTTTGTATTTCACAGTAAACACACATTTGCAACCAACCATCCTTTTTCCCAATAGAGTGAAACAAGCTCTCAGGTTTCTTTCTTTGTCAAAGTTTTTATTTTTTCAATCATGCCTTTCTTCCATTTGGAATCCCGTAGATCTTCTCTCTAATTTTTTGGAATAGACACAAAGAAAACATATTAAATAAAGACTCTATATTGTAGAAAATAAGGAATAATTAAATAGAAAATAAGGAGAAATTAAGTTGTTTTTTTCGAGTATTTTCCATGTTGTATATTTTCTGTTTTATTAGCTGTAGATTCTGTATACAGAGGGAGTCACAAACAAATTTCCTCCTCCCCATAAAATTGTTAGGATCTTGTTAGAATTTGTTAGGTTTGTTAGCATTTAGGTTGTATAAATACACTTCATGATGGAAATAAATGAGAAGCAATATTTCCTCCCAAATAGCTTCATGGTATCAGAGCCTTACCTGATCCAAGAAGAGTGATCCCTGCTGAGCCGTAATCACAAATGGCCACAGGCGAGCTTCCATCTTCTCCAGAGGTCTCCTCTGGTTCCTATCATCACACAGCAACCAGCAACGTTGTGAGTGAGATGTCTTCATCCTGCATTACAGGACACAAACTCAACGGCAGTAATTACCTACAATGGTCATCCTCTGTCCGATTGTTCATCCAAGGAAAGGGTTGTTACGCACATCTTACTGGCGAAGTCATATCTCCTCCAGCAACTGACTCAAGCGCTCGCGTATGGGAGATTGAAGACAGCATGGTGATGTCGTGGCTCATCACATCAATGACCCCAGAAATTGGAGAGAATTTCCTACTCTATGAAACTGCTCACGAAATCTGAGAAACAGCTTAGGAATTTTACTCCAGCAAAGAAAACACTTCCGCCATTTTTGAGATAGAGTCCGCGCTTCATGATCTTCAGCAAAGTGAGTTAAGCGTCACTCAATATTATAATGCCTTAACTCGTAATTGGCAACAGATGGATATGTTCGAAGAGTACCCATGGAGCTGCCCCTAAGATGCAAAGAACTTCAAGTTGTTCGTCGAAGAGAAGCGCGTCTTTAAATTCTTGCTGGGGTTGAACAAGAACCTCGACGAGATTTGGGGACGTGTGCTGAGTACCAAACCCTTACCGAGTCTTCGGGAGGCGTTCTCTGAAGTCCGACGCGAAGAGAGCCACAGGAAGGTCATGATGGGTGATGTTGAGTAGACCTACCTGGCCGAGAACTCTTCAACGCTCACAACCCCGAGCTGTTGACGCTCGAACGAAGAAGACAAGCCTTGGTGTGATCACTGTAAGAAGCCAAGGCACACTTGTGAGCGCTGCTTGAAGCTCCATGGCAAGTCGAGCGACTGGAAGCCTTCGGATGAGTGGAAATCCTCCAAGGCAAAAACCTCAAGCAAGCATCAAGGCAACCACATAATTGTTGAAGAAATGCCCTTTGATGTTGTGGAGAGTAGTCCCTTTAGTCCTGAATAGTTGGAAGCCCTTCAGCGTGTTTTGTCCAAAAACTCCTACTCAGTCAATGCCTCTGTGGCACACAAAGGTAA